TCGTTCGACATAAATCAATACAGAGGTGCTTTTTACCGATTTCGATAATACATTGAAAGTAATCAGTTATCCGTTTCTGTTGTTCTTCATTTAACTGCCCCATGTTAGTTAATCTCACAATGCAGAATATCAAATACTTTGCCCACATCAACATTTCAGAATCGTCCACTACTTTTGATGTGACGAATTTATAATGGACATCGTTGATCACAAAATCACCGTCTTCTGTAACCTCTTCCAAAAATGGGAACACATCTTTTAAAGAAACTTCTTCACTATCGACTATGGAACTTGATATTGATTTCAGAACATTGTCTTGACCCACAACGGTATCTGAGATAGCTACGGGTTGCCCTATCCAGCTTGCGACGTAATTCCGAGCGTCTAATTTACAGTCTCCAATCAATACTTCCGTTAACTCAGGCGAGTAATTGCAATGAAGTAAATTAACGATGTAAAGTGATAGAAAATATTTAAGACTCTTCTTAGCATCCTTGTGTGTCTGTAAGTACTGCATGCAGCCTACAATAAAAGGCGAAGGCATTCTACTTTCTAGAAACACATTATCTTCTGTGGTTTTGTTCTCCATTAGATCATTAAACAGCTTCTTCAAACTGTCCTCAGTATTTTCTGAAGATATTTCAAAGTGCACTAACTGGTTCCTCACATATTCAGTCAAATCTGTTATGTTTTCTAGAACGTATTCTACAATGTCGCTAATCAGAGTGGATGGGTTCACTCGAGCATTCCTCAGTGTGTACAATATCAAATGTATTTCGTCTTCATCTCCTTCGAAGATTGCCGTATTTTTGAAGTAAATTCGTAAAGTATCCTTAGCTTCAATCCAAGTTTCGTCCTCGTCACTCATGTACACATCTAACATTATTAAGAAAAGTTCCTTAAACATTGGATTCTTCAAAGATATTGCAGAACTATCTAATGTTAACCAAAGAGATACAATTTTAAATTTCAACAGAGCAATGTGACCAGTTTCCAGTGTTTTGGAGAAATCTAATATCTTTTTCATATCTATACTACCTTCTAAAGTCTCAAAATATGCTGGGTGGATATCATTGTACAGTAAAAGGAGATCAACTAGAGATATCAGAGCATCTGTATCAGTTATTTTGGGAAGTCTGTAGTCCTTAGTGTTCTCTACTTCTATTTTACCAGATGTGACATTGTCTATTAACATTACGATGGTAGCAGGTGTTGGTAAATGCTTTGGAATAAAATACTCCAACTTATTTTTTAAATCTGCCGTCTGTGCTGTTTCTTTGCTCTCCAATATTTGTAAGTACCTCTTCAGACATTGCAACATCTTGACGAGAACTTTGACACAGTATAGAGACACAGTTTGGTCCTTCCCTAAACTGATATTGATAAACTTAAGTAAAGGAACTGGCAAACTTACGAATCTGACAAAATTGGCAATCTGTACAGGATTAAGGTGAGTCATTCTAGACACCATGTCTTCTGGTCTCAATTTATTCAGCAGCTTGATTGTAAAATCTGCAGTTCTTTCCCATATTGGAGAATGTTGAGGCTCAAAACTTTGTTCTATTACACTGCATAAAGCTCGGTGGAGGTCAGGGCACTTGTACATTATATTCAAGATCACCTCACATTCGGTCTCATTCTCCCATGGCCTCTTTAGAGTTAGCAGAGCTTTATACAGATTCTGATTTTTGTTAGCATCAACTGTTCCTAGGGAATTGTCAATGAAGTAGAGACCAGTTTTGTGTGATGTAAATAAAGTAAGTAGTATATCACTAAGCAGGTTCATTATATCCGGGCGCAACTCATTCCTCACTTCTTGACTTAACTCTGGAGGCCCTTTCCATGAGAATACTTTGAACAGATTATGTAACACTTGATGACTGAAAGTTTTTAACTTCAGACTTTTTGATATCAATGCATTATCTACAACATTCTTTTTCAAAATGTTTAAAAATATCAACACAGCCTCTGGTTCATCATTGATCAAACCAGGTATGACAAGAGCCAGCAAGCCTTGCTTCTCCAGAAGAGCTTTTATCAAGGGCAAGTGGCCTTCTATCAGGAATGATGTCATGAAGTGAACAAATGTTGTCCTTACATTATCCTTCTCCTTGAAGTTAGGTTTTTCAACCACATGCTGCAAGTGTTTCGGAGTTAATGGGGCCTGGTTGAGTACTTCAACTCCTAAATCTGAATTCAGTGTGACCATTGATGTCAGTAGTTTAAGGACTACTTTCCTGTGTCGAGGACCAGAGCTTTCACTGATCATAATCTCAATTGTAGACATGAATGTGTTCAGGAAGTAGCGGCATGCCTCCTCTGTGATAGATATCATGTGAGGAAGGGAAGACTGTACCTTTACAATAATAAGATGAAAAATGTGAAATGCTGGGGTGGCCAGTGTGAGATTTTTCTTACTGTCTGCAGTGATCTGTCGCAGTATTTCATGTGAGTTGCCACCACATTTAAGGTATTCCAGCAAGTAGTCAGCAGGACTGTCAGGGTTTAGACAGACTTGTAAGAATTGTGTTAGTGCTGGAAATATAAAATAAAATTGTTAATAATTTGCTTTTGTTCTATATTACATATTAAATACTAATCACAATATTGACTGTAAAATCTTTTATTATTTGTGCAAAAGGGCAAAAATGTAATATTGTGCAAGTGGCACGCACTTTGTTTACTGTCGGTAAATGTGCACATAACATGCAGTTATTCGAATTAAAATAAGTGTTTACGCTTACCCATAGTCTGGCCTTGCTTTGCTGATAGTTCTTTACGAAAATATTTCACATCAAAACTGTCCTTTTTGGAAGTAAATGCATGTTTGTTATCCGACTCCACCGGGTTTTGAGGTTGTTCGTCGGTGCCATTTTCAACACTTTCAGATTCAGCCTTTTTAGGTTTTTTAGGTGATTTGTCTTTTTCGCTTTCGAATTTGCGTTTACCCATATTGCTGCATTTAAAGTTTAATTAATATTATTTTATAAAAATTCACACTACACCGCACACGTGAGAATGTTTTGACAATTTGGCAATGTGAATTTGGATTTGACAATTTTGACATTGACACGACATGTAACGTAATTGTTTTTTTATTTTGAAATAGTTGACTTGGAACCTAGTTTTTTAAGTTTGATTCTCAAAAAAATATTGACTTGCAATCTAGTCTTTTATGATTCTCCAAGATGCTGCTGCTCCTTCAGGTGCAAATACTGGCCACCAGGGAGATGTTAGTGAGGAAAAAAATTCTAAACTCCCTTTTTCCCCAAAAAGTTAGGCGCCTTGAATTGAAGGTTTCCCTCCCGCCAACAAAGAAGAAAATTGCTGGTGTTTCTAAAAACTTTAAATTTATGCTAAATCTTATAGGATAGAAGCGGCTAACGAGCTAACGGATCACCTGATGATTGTCAGGATTACCTGTAACAAGTTACATGTGATTTGCGAGCCTTTAACCTCTAGCCTTAACGCACATTGTAGATCCCTTTCAGTGGTTACGTCACAGCTAATGGCCAGTACACGAACAATGTATATAAAATATTACAAAAAACAAAATCTAGAAAAAATATTCTTTATTTCAGTCAAAGTAGATTTTCATAAAAAAGTAGTTACAACACAATACTATTTTTCCAAGTACAATACAAATCAATTTTTTTTTCCAATTAGTTACAATACAATGCAATATTATTTTTCAAGTTTGTATCATGGGTCAATAAATTAAAAAAATACCTGATAAATGAGGGCTACCGCCGCCATCTAGAGTACTAATGTAGCTAGAGGTATTTTGTTTAATCAACATTGCTAATGTGTAGTCCTCTGGACATTCCAATTTTGACACCTACTGTGATTGGACAAAAATGAACTTACGGTATATTGGCGCCATCTAGTGAGCAGAAAAGCGTTAGTCCTCATTTAAACAAAAATGATACTAATTTATTTTAATTATTTGATAACGTAATATGTTTCAATATGATTGAATTAAATTATTTTATGGTTATTCAATATTAAAACAAACATTTAGTTGCAAGTCGAACTGAGTGTCAGTCTCATTTAAACTACGAACGATGTAGATAAAGTATCAAAAGGAAAATAGTCAATTATCCACATTTAGCTAATAAGAAAAAAATGGGTACAACTATAGTTGTAAACATTATAATGTTTAATAAATTTTCGAGATGGACAATAAAAAAATATACTCGCTGTTATTTAACATTAGGTACTTATTTCTATTGTGAGACATCTAAAAATCGCGGCTAACTCACGTGAATATACTGAGTAGTACATACTAGTAGCGCTTTTCTCAGTATATTCACGTGAGTAACCCGCGATTTTTAGATTCTACACTTAAAAAAACATTGTCTACATGACTAGTTTTCTTTGTTTTAAAATAATAGACATTATGATTGAACTTATTCATTAAGTATAGTTTTTCTTTCACACCCACTGACTAAGTTTGTACTTGTAAAAGCGTAATATTATCTAAGAGCTAAGAGATCTTAGGCACTTTGTTATACGCCTCAAAACTCCGCCGTTACAATTAAATAGTCTTAGTTAGTAACTTTTTTTTAACGGAGATGAATATCTCACGCTAGGTAAAATATTTATCCTCTTTTCAAAAAAGAGAGGTTCACACAACACTGGTTTTGTTTGTTGTCGTTGTATTCACATTTGTAAAAACACCATTGTTTTTGGACAACCGTTAGTGGAGTTGTTCCTTATCAAACCACCAAAATGGTACGTAACTGCGGGTCAACCGCGCAATCTATAATAAATTTATTACGTAAAAAATGTATATCTTATAAAATATTACAAACGCACAATGTCGACATTACAATGCCACATTATAATAATAAAGTCGTAAAAAAGTAACAATCGTAGCCATTATCCATTAACCTGTTACACAGACAAATAACCACAGTTTTACTGTGAAGCCATCATATCATCGTCATACAATTAGATTGTCATAATTCACCACAATATTGTAAAAATATATAACTATGTTATAATAATGACTCCCTCCTTCTAGCAATAATTTCTTCGAAGTTCGGTTCCTGCTCTCGGACCCTATCTAATAATACATCAGCTAAGTTCAGGTCTCTGTTAGAATCTGAAATGATATACATATTTTATAAGAAAATTTTATACATTTGAATGACAACATACAAAGGCACTCTTACAAGTCCCCAGTATAGCTTGAAACTGGTCGAGTGCCTTCGTCAAACAGTTAAAAGCTGTTAATAATTACTCTCTGTAACGAGAGTTATAATAGAACTAAGGAGTATTAAATATTAGCTAAAATTGATGTATAATTTTATATCGTACCGTCAAAATATACAAGTTCACACTTGCCCCTGCATTCTGGGCTCTTGGCAATCAGTTTACGCAGTGTGGTCAAGAAGTCGAGCACTATTTCCTCGCGGTTGATACCCGCCAGTTCTGGAAATATACATTATATTTACAGTTATTTTTCTTGTTTGATTAGTATTCAGAAAGTTAGTTAAAGCTGAAAGATAATCGTATTTTATTTTTAGTATGGAAATATCATGAGACATGTATTCAAAGTAAGTATGGACGGATTGATAGAATTTTTAAAAGCGTGTGTAATTTCCAATAAGATGGACAGCTGAAATGATATTGTAACATAAATGTTTGTTGGTTAGTAACATTTGTACAATACTGTGAGGAGACAGTGAGCTGATGATAATGACATAAATACAGTTGTTCTAACCTTCAGCGAGCTCGCTGTTCTTCAGGACCCTGTATAAGGTGTTCAGAGGCGTACCCCCCTCGGTGCAGATACAGACAGGCGGCGCATTAGGCCGGTAGATCTTGTACGCTGTGCTCCTGTATATGCGGTTCTTAACACCGGCCACGTCCTTCTCTATCTCAGTTAAAGACTGAAAAACATAATAAAAAATAAGGAGGATGATAGAGGATCGCAATATACAAACATTCATGACTTATACACAAATGCAAAGAGTTGAAGATCTAGTTTAGCCAAGTGCTATTGGAGAGGCCTATGATATACAAGCTATATGAGTTGATGATATTATATAAGTAATGGGAATAGGGCTCACACTACAAGCTTCTAGTTTGGGCAGGTCGTCTCTGCCAGTCTTGTTGAACTCCACCAGCGCCGGAGGACTGAACAGCGACTTGGTGACCACCACGAATAGCTTCTTCACAGGAAACACGACTCCTTCTCTGTTCTCATATATCTTGATATTCTCCAGAAACCCGAAGAACTTGGCGCCGTCTGAAGGTAACACATGGACGAGGTAGCCCTCGAAGTAGCTGCAAGCCATGCCTACACCATAGTTAACTGTCTTTTTCTTATCTAATTTTCTATCCTGAAACATTACAATATACATTTTTGAAAAGCGTTTGCTTCATGCCAGTTTGAAATCTAATTAATAATATTTTATTTTTATTGTCACAAAACATGGTAGGTAACAAGATGTTGAATAAAATGTTTTTGCTGTGGAACACAGCATGCAAAAGTATTATTAAATGAAATACATTAATATGAATGAGTCATTTTACAGTATAATGAAATTAGTATTAGATAAATGAGAATTTTATGAAAATGTCAGTCAATCAAAGTGAATGTCAAGTCAATTAGGTATACATTTAATTAAATTTAATTTAAAGAAAAAGATGAGATACAATTACATATTAAAATTATTTTCATTTAAGAATTCATGAATACTATAATAACATTTCTTGGCCAGAATTATATTCAATTTATTTTCAAATAATCTTACATTACAATTTCTAGTAAATATCATTAGGAATATAATTATATATTATAAATACATTGAATACTCATGTTATTCAGCATACTCCTTTTCAACTGAACCAAAGTGGTGTGTAATGTATCTAGGTATATGAATGCTGTGTTACTAGTAAAAGTTAGAAGATACTTACAATCTCCGGATATTTAGCAATCAAGGTCGCGATTAAAATAAAAATTAATCTGTCATCGAGGATTGCCTGTTCATGTGTCAGCAGGACTGTGATAGCCCCCAGAAACATCATGACATGGTGCCGGTGTAGCTGTACCCTCTGCAGGACCTGTACATCAGGGAGCTGCTGGTGACGAGCGCAGTGATATAACACTACACACGCTTCACTGAATCCTCGAACACTTAAGACATACAGCACAAACCGGGCTGAAAATATAGTTAGTTTTTTTGTTTTATCTATCCAAATGAACCTACACTGTGGAACAACCTTACTTCACTGTTAGATTATACTATCTTGATATTTTACAAGTGTTATCAATAGATTTTGCTGAATTGGTTTTAACTTTCAAACAGTAAGTTCTACTTCAAAAAGAGCAGAAAGTTCATTATCTACTCACCTATATTTATCGCCAAAGTTTGCTTATTATGTAAGTCCAAGCTCCGTGATGCTGGAAGAAACAATTCAACCATTAGTATTAATGTTGCAGCAGTAATGAAAGTAAATATCTTAAGGTTCATGCTGCCAACTAAACTGAAATGTTACTGATGTATATCCTCTTGAGTGCCATATGAGACACAACAGACAATACATTATGTCTTGCATGGATCTACGTTGAGACACACAACAGGTTAAGCTTCATGCCCAGAATTTGAGAGGATGTTATCGTCTCACATTTTGTAAAGAAAACAGTCTTCCATTATTTCAAAAATTGTTCAGTTATGTTCCATGACACCATTTTACTGATAACTGGCATAAGTAATTCATGATAATCTTGAGAATGTAGGTTCATGTTATTATAGTGGAGCTTTTAAATGTTATAAACATATAAACAATGCCTCTTTGTTTGCTGTAAAGAGGCCACATAGTAAACTGATGTTTCGTTTTCATATATAAACAGACTGTAAACACAAGTAACAGTATGGTGAGGTGCGGTTGGTTAGTTTCATAGTAATTTTCAAGCTTCCTTTACGTTACTTACCTACCTACTCCGTTACTTACCTAATGTGATGCTACCCACAAATAAAATTTGCATAAAATAAATGTATGTGTTGCGATCCATTTTCATTTTCTGTAAAGTAAAGTGAAAAAGATTAATTTGAAGAAAATAATATTATTAAATTATGTGCAAATTTTGGGAGATAAGTAGATAATTGTCGTTTGTATACACATTTTTGTCCAAATTTTAACTCGTCGAGTACCGTATTTATAGACACAAATAAAGAACAATAGGTTGCGGTCACCGGTGACTGCTTGGTGTTTGACAGTTTAAATAAAAATTTAGAAAAGATAAAGTTAAGTAAAAAAGTCCTTCATACATTTCTTTGTACAAAACTTTGTGTCATAAACTCATAATATCATTTATTTTGGTGACAGGTAAGCCCACGGCAATAGGTATCTCCTGCAGAGAAGCTTTATAGACCTAATAAATTAAAACAACAAGGAACAAATTAATCTGCTCATAGTTTAGGTTAGCACAGATAAAAAATAGCATAAAAGTAAAAAATGCAATTTGTCTTATCAGTGAACTTGCCCTACTTATCAAATTATGTATCAACATTTAATTATTGTGTTGTAATAAAAATATATTTTTATTTCCTTCGTTACTGACTGAAATGTTACTGCTCATAGAATTATTCATTACTACGCTACAACAAAATTGAGTCAATGCATGTATTTCCGGTTACTATTATATCTAAACGGTTTAGTTTTTATTGAAACACTTTCCGCATTATTTTAAGTTTATCAATAACCTCTTTTTTGTTGTTTTCGTTTAAGTGTGTATGTTGGTACTTACGAATTATACTGTTTTACGCTACGAAACCATTAAATAGCATATATTATGTTCGGTTACATGGCACTATTAATGTTCGTAAAACTAAAGTTTGTGTAGTTTTTTCCAAAGTTAGAAAAACACTTGCTCCTGTTGCTGTTTCTATTTTGATTTTTCAATTTTCAGTGACACAGTCACACTGACAAGTTGACAGTGGCACAAAATGACATTTATAAAACTAAAAGCAACGTCAACGACTTTATAGGTTTTAGAAGAGCATAGACAAGAAATACTTCAGAGGATCAAGCTGTAGAAATGAAATTATTTTCTTCTTCCCTTCAATCTTTATAACGTGGAAGAGGAAGGGCCATATTTCAGCACAAATAGGCCGCTCGGCTGCTCGACGGAAATAATGCCAGAACCTTCGAAAAACCTTTAGTGAGTCTAATGGTATCCATGAGCTGCGCCTGCGCCGATTGATTACTAGGTGATCCCTCTGCTAGTTAGGCGCCCTATTCTTCGTATACGAAACGTTTTAAGTCCTAATAATAGTTCAGTCGTGTTACACCACTTCCTTAAGAGCCACTGCAATGTATTTCAAAATATCTCTTTCATGCATTATTTGTGGTAATCTAAACGACGATTGGTTTCCCAAATAAAATAAGTATTACTTACAATTTTATTATTTAAAAAAAATCTCATAACAGTTATTGTATCAAAATTATATTGTACACACATTGACTTATAAATAATAAGTACTTACTACTTAACAATTATGGGTACCACCACAATTACTACTAGGTACTCCATTCTTAGAGAAAAGATAGAAATAAACAAGTACCTACAGTATATTACAAGTACCTAGCTATTTGGTAATTGGTATCAACCATTTTACACTCTGTGAAAGAGAGTATAACAAGTACTTATAGGGAGTTAACATTAGACTAGATTCTGCCATCATTTCACTTATGATGTAAGTCATGTATAATATGTATAGCTAATGATAGCTATTTTCTTAAAAAAATACAAAAACATATTTAATTTATGCTTACACATTTTAAAAGGCACAAATATTTAATTTCTTCACACCATAGCCGATTGGTGCAAAAATAATTGGCAGTCGTACTGATTACCTATGCACATTTTCTACTGATATAGGGCTCGTACACAAAAATGCGATGCGATGCGAATTCGCAATGCAGAAAATTACGACACGAATTGCTGCGATGCGATTTCGTTCGACAAGGCGTCTCCCAGGGTGACCATTCCTTCGACGACCGTCAACCGTACTAAACGTATTTCAAATTGAAAAGTAGGTCGTGACATGAATCGTAAAAATAAATGTGCACTTCTGTTATTGCTTCTTGCGATGCATAGAGGGAGCTTGCACATTTTTGCGATGCGACGTCGCATCGCAGTTTTGTGTACGAGCTCAGATTACCAATCAGTTGCATAGGTCCAATACAAAATTATAATATACACCTATATATCGACGTACTTTTATATAGGTTTCTCACAAGTTATACGATCTCCGAATTTTTAATTTTAATAATCATTTACTTTGATATCAAGTCAAAATAAATCACAACTCAGTAACAGCAAATGTTTCTAATTTTTTTCTCTAATCTAACTTTGTCCGACTACAGTTTACACAAGTTAATGTGTCTGAAATATTTTATTTATCTTCTAACACTAATCAACTCTTCAAACCTTGGTTCCAGCTGTTGTATTCTGTTGAGTATAACGTCTGCTAAGTTCGCTTCTGGGTCTCTATCTGTGATCAAAATTTAACATTTATTATTATGCAACATCTTAGTGCTTATGTCCTGGACATGGCATGTTTTAAAAGTGCGAAAGAAATCGGGATTTATTATCCCGCTCCCGATCTTTTAATTGCTGTCGTATAGAAAATGTCTACCGGGAGAAATTAGTAACTATCGTCATATCAGCCACAGGACGTCCACTGCTGAACATACGCCTCCCCCAATGACTTCCAGGTAGGCTAGTTGGAATCGAACTGCATCCAACAGCTCCTTGAAACCTTAATCAGGTCGTAGGTATATCAACCTTTCAAATTATTAATAACGAATCGTATTTCAAAATTAGTGGATCTATCTTGGTTTTTGACAGAAACTCTATAAAGTGTCAAAAATCTATTTTAATCTGCAGATTCTGGATTGAGATCGGTAATTCGGCTGTAAAATATTTACATCACTTGTATGTAACACAAATATTAGTTGACTTCATTGCATTGCATAATGTGCACCTCTGCCTACCCCTTCGGGGAAAAAAGGCGTAATGTTATGTTATATTATTCATTGCATCTCGACACATCTACTTACCATCATAGTGAACTAGTTCCACCTGGTCTCTACACTCTGAACTCCTGTCTAGAAGTCGCAGCAGTGTGGAACAGAAGTCGTCACAAACATCTTGGACATTCACCTTCGCCAAGTCTGTTAATAATAGGTAGCCATGTTATACAACAGAACTGTATCAGCCTCGTTCAGCATACTTCGTTCTATTCGTGTATCTTATGATATAATAGAACTGTATGGGAAATTCTTAAAATTCAAAGAAACTGCGCTTGCTTCGTGTTTCGCCGTGCGGGTAAGGTTAGTAGGGGCGCAATCATCCCCAATTATTATTGTTAACTTCCTTACCGGTTACGCCCAAAAGGCCGTCAACGCACTTGTAACTCCTCTTGATATCCATGGGATTCATGGGTTATAAAAATCATCTCATGGAGCAGACGGATTACCAATAATGGTACGCAATCGGGGCGCCACCTAGTGCGTTGACCACCTTTTGCGTGGTGTGATATTCAAGTACTCAGTAGTGTTATACCGCAAGAAGTGTACTCACCATCATACAACTCCTTGTTCTCCATGACTCGGTACAAAGTATACAGGGGCGTAGCACACTCGGCCACGAGGTAGACGGGTGGGCCGCGCTGCCGGTGGATCTTGTACGCCGTGTTCTTGTAGCTACGGTTCCTGATCCCTCCCACATCCCTACTCCGATCTTCCAGCGACTGGAACATCACAGCATCATCAATGTCCGGAAAAGAGGGAAGATGCCCCTGAGAATTATTTCATGAATTAATTAAAATAACAAACAGAATCCTTAGATTTAAAAAACTAACATTACCTACCTTCTTAAGATTACCTTTAGTACTTTGGATACAAAAAAGCATATATACGGTCGAATTGAGAACCTCCTCCTTTTTTTGAAGTCGGTTAAAAATAATTCACAGGAGGAAGAAATGAAGTAAAGACAGGTTCGTTGAGACGCCACTATAGACACAAACTTTTTTTTAAGGGGGGAAATCATCGAGTGACTGCTCCCGCCTGGGTGAGGCGGGAGGGAGTGTCAGACTCTTACTGACTAAAAGCCACCCCGTTCCTTCTCCTGCACTTCGAGCCGGAGCCCCAGTAATCCGTTAGGTTCTTATGTCTAGAGTGGCATAACACTAGGCTTTGTCAATATGTGACGAACCTTTGAATAATCACCGATTCTCACCGAACAGGACTCCAACTTTGAGAGGTCTGGTCTATTTTCTTTATTAAACAGTTGTAGATCTGGAGGGCTATACATGGACTTTGTGATGATGATGAATAACTTTCTGACAGGCACCACAATGCCTTCGCGAGCCTCGAAAGCTTGGACGTTTTGAATGAAACCACCAAAGTCACCACCATCTGAAGGTATCACGTGCATCAGGTATCCTTCATAGAAGTTGCACGCCATCCCTACTCCATAGCTTATGGAAGATAGGGGTGTGGTTCCCTGAAAATTGAGGACTGAACTTTATTTTCATTACTTTACACAGTATTTTTTTACTACATTATACATTAAACTGAGAAAGGCTTATTGTTTTATGCAATTAATAACTACTTATCATTCTACAATGATAACTATTGTCAGACATTATTCTGTTCAATGAAGGAAGACATTGTTTGTAAACAGTGCCTGTATCAAATGTTTAATTATATAAAAATAACTCACCAATTCGGGATATTGCAAAATCAAGTAGGCAATGAACAGCAAAAGGAAGTCTTCGGAAAATATCTTTTCATTATTGCTTATTAAGATTGCAATTGAACCAATGAAAATGATTATTTGACCAGCATTGATATTTTCTACAAGTTGTGTGTTCAACCATCTTTTCTTGTGTAACATGTCATATCCCATTGAGCTTAAGTTTTTGGTACATTTAATTGTTAAGTCATAAACTACATATCTCACTGAAAAAACATACAAATTAAAGATTTTGGGAACTAATTAATTTACATGTCATGACATAATTATATTATGCTTATTTATTTAAATCTTACGCTTACTAAACTATGCTACTCTAATGAAAATCTAAGCAACATTTCATTTACTATCAAGTTTGATTACATTACATTACATTAATGATCACAAGCAACACGGTGAACACACCATGGTGTAATTAAATTACTAGAAAACAATAAATCATACATACCAATGCTGAACATCCAATGGTACTTATCATTTTGGTAAAATGTTTGTGAACCTGTGACAAACAAAAGCCACACAATTTTATTACTTCTTATTAGTAAGATAATGATTATTTAGTATAATAACTAAACTGCCATAGCAATAGGCTCACCCCTATTACATGGGACTCATGACATAAATAGTGAAACGGGGTGTTACTTCTACCTATCCCTTTGGGGATAAAAGGTGTGATGTTAATAACTAAACTAATATTATCACAAATACAACCACAGTATGAAAAGATAGCTGAATCTAAATGTCTACTGCTAAACAAAGGATCTCTGAGTAGATACCAAAGTTATGCAAAACATTTATGGGGTTATCTAAAATTGACAAAATAGTATGATGTAGTCATAATTTATATTTGACCATGAAACATCTTGGTTATTTATTTATGTAATTTATTAGTAAGTGTGCAACAAATATTGAGCTGAGCTAACACATAAATAGATGTCTTATTAGATTAATAAAAAGAGACTTGATATATATTTAAGTCAGGACTCCAACAGCTGAGTGACATGTTGAACATAATCTACTTATAAATTCACACCCACTCCCATGGGTGGGTGTAAGTAGAAAATACAGAGCGCTTCCTTCATCACAACTACATATTTATGTTGAAAAAAATAAAACTTACCAACTGTGACACCGACAGCAAGTACAACTTGCATCACATAAATGTAGATTTGATCCATTTCTCACTGACCCTTTTAACTGCTGTATAGAAAATGAGTGATTAGGACCATTACCACGTTGTTATTTTAAAGTAAAATGATAAATCCCAAGTAAATTGAACTATAATAAAAAAGTTCAAAAACCACTTCTTAACTAATTCTTTGGTATAAAATCACATAAAACTTAGATTTAACAGACTTCTTAAACATTGAGATTGATATAATAATAAAAGTAGAGTATTTAATGGTGTATTAATTTTGTAATTCTGTATTTAAAGTAATATAAATTGGTGGAACTTAAAACTGTTGTCGACACTGTTTTGACATTTCGTTTAGAACATGGTTTTTCCGTTTTTCCCAAGATTTTTTTCTCGGTTGCCATTCATGAAAAATCTTAGTTTCAATAGTATTTTGCCGAAAGGCAACACTATAAATTTACTGTCAACAGTGTCATTGTTGATTGCGGTTACTGTCACTGTCATGGATATTTAAGTCATGCAATTTGAAAATAAAAAGTGTTAATTTGTACCTTTTTGTTCTGTCTTAATCAGCAAATAATATTATATACCTATTAGTAATATTATAAATAATGGTTGTTTGTAAATTTTTTCAAGCTGGATACTGTAAATTCGGAAAGAACTGTAGATTTGAACACGTCTATGGATCCAAATACTCTTACCACGGTAAGGTTTAATAGTTTCTGCTTTACTTTAGTATTTTGGTGATTAATTGTGTTGTGCAATGTTACTGCACTTTACGAAATAATGTAGGTAATATTAATTAAACATGTCCGAATTAAACAAGTTAGTATTGACCCTGAAATCGTCCTATTAGAACTAATTATAATTTGTTTGGATGATAATTTGTAAGTATATTTCAGATACGTATTACATGACATTTAATAAATATGAATAAGGTTTAGTAGATCATACATACAATGTACACTCTCTCTCTTAAATTATTTGTATAAGTTACTAATACACAATTATATATTTGAAATAATGGGAATTTTGAGGGAATAAATTTATAAGAGACAATATATATTTCAGCAAATCCACAAACTCAACCAGTACAGCAGGCTCCTGTGCAAACACTTCCTGGAGGCATTACTGATGAACAGCTGGTAAAACAAGTGCAGGCTGATGTTCAGGCCGTACTTAAAGGTGGCCAGTGGATCCTTTCATGCTACTCCCCCATCAAAGAAAAACCTATATTTCCAGGAATTCATGACTTGTCACCAGAAGAAGTCAGACTTTTCATTTATGAGGGAAAAAACACAAATAATGTAGAGCAAGCAGTAAGTAGCAAACATTTTTCACCACTACTCATATGAAAGATACATCCACCGTTTCAACTAATGGAAAGTTTATATAAAGTAATGAAATAGTTATCATGTCAATCCATTACATTAACATTATTCCTTTGTCAATTTCAGGTAGCATACATCAACAATGTGGTTAAAGAGACGAGACAGAAATATGAACAACTGCTGCAACCAAATATGAATATTATCAAAGTACTGAGAAGCCTCTACAAAGGAGAACAAGTTTCTTCACCCTTCACTAGTCAGCCAGAGAATGTGTTCAGCTCTTCCAACAGTGCTGCAGCTTCCATATTCCATAGTGCCGTTCAGTCAGGTCCAGTGATTAACCAAAATGTGAATAATGCTCAGTCAATATTCAGTCAAGCTCAAACTAGCATATTTAATCAACAAGCTCAAGATCCTGCAAAACAATTGTTTGCTCAAGCTACTCAACATTCTTTTGGTCCAAGTCAACCTGTAAGTAACATATTTGCACCACAGAATCAAAATGCTGATCCAAAATCAATCTTTGGTGTAGCTGCTCAAAATATAAATCAAACAACTGCAAACCCATCAAACATATTTGGTGCTGCAAACCAAAGTATATTTGGTAGAGCTCCAACTGACAATTCCTCTCCTTTCAACCAAGGGAACGTTTTTCAACCGGCTCAGAATCCTGCTTCTATATTTGGGCAAGTCCAGAATAAGTCGGTAGCTGGTGGTGATCCCAATCTGTACAGCAAGATGGAAGATGTGGATGAAGTAGATCTGGAGGCATTTAAGAGTGATAATTTTCAATTAGGTTTTATTCCGGAATTACCTCCACCTTACGAGCTATGTACTAGACAGTCAAGGCCTCAGTTATTTAGTTAGAGTTAGAAAAAAAATTTTGTATTTGTAAGTTGTTATGTTTGTATTAAAGGACTTTGTTAATTTTGTACCACAGACTGTGCATAATTATAATAGTTTCTATTGGCACCATAACTTATCTATTATGAAAGAAAGTCATATTAGTTACAGTATTTATACCTCAAGAATGGCCAAATCGATTTGACTGAAAATTGGTGAAGAGGTAGCTTAGAGCCAGGAGAAGGGAATTTTTTATTAAAGGATTTCCGAGAATACAGGAAAATCCTACGAAAATGGGAAAAAACGAGATTGCACATAATATGAAGTAAGCAGAAACTACTACCATAATAAATTAGCGTGGAGATTAATTATATTATAATATGTATATATGTACTTAACACCATGTCACTCACTCACTAAGTGATGAGTCCGATATTGTCCATATCTCATATACCTAAGTGTTTTTAATAAAATTATAGTCATTAAATAATTGACTGATACAAGTTTATTCTTTTTTAAATTTTAATAAGAAAATATGACTGACCAAATATATTTTGGCTTGGCTTGGGGCTTGGGGCTTGGGCTTTGGCTTTGTGTAGGCAAAAGTGACCATTATGTATTACATGTAACACTAATCTGAACTATAAGACAGCCTATCAAGAGGCAGTCTATATCTTTTATTATAAAAATAAAAAGTATGTAGGTAACATGTTTTTGTATGCCTGGTGTTAATGAATATCATCATTGTATTACTATGTATTTTATACTTAAAACACAGTCGCTATCTGCCGTCTGTCTGTCCCTATGTACGCTTAGATCTTTATAACTACTCAACGGATTTTGATGCGGTTTTTTCAATAGATAGTGATTCTTAAGGAAGGTTTCTATGTATAATACATGCATAATGCACCCGTGCGAAGCCGGGGCGGGTCGCTAGTTTGTTCCTAAAACTAAGTTTGTCTTAACCTTTAAGATATTTGATTTCAAGAAGTATGGAATAAAAATCCAGAATAAAATATGTGTTACTTTATTATTATATTATTCACACCACATCCCAACGTACAACTGGGTGCAAATGTTTACTAGACTGTTGACAATAGTTCTCTGTAGTCCTTCAATGCACTTTGAACTCACAATCACTTCACTGAATTTTAATTATCAATTTCGCCAAGATAAAGTTGTTTATCACTAGATGCTGAGAGTACTATAGGTTCTGTCCTATGGAAGTCGACGTCATTAACGGAGCCGTTGTGGCCGGGCAGCTTGTACAGTACGCGACGTGACGTCGTGTCCCACACGTATAGGAAGCGATCTGACGATCCTGCTGCCACCTGTGTGGAAAAATATGTTTTACAATATTTTACGCAATTTTACGAATGCAATACTACGAATTTTTAAATAGGTAGATTCGAGGATACAGTAGTATCGTTAATTCGGTGATTAGTTGTTCAATTGTAAGGAGTATTGTTCAATATGTCCTTTAGAATTGAGAACTCCTCAACAAACATTTTGAGGACTGGCAATTTTAGAATTTGGATTTCTTAATCAGTTAGCCTTTTACATAATAAATGATTGTTATTAAAAACTTTACAAACCTTAGAGCCATCATGTGACCATGCACAGCGTAGCAGGTTCTTCTCAAAATTATGCTGATGACCTGACATGAGCTTGACGCAGCGTTCAGATGGTGCAAATGGCCGTACATCCCATATCCTCAGTGTGTTATCCATGGAGTTGGAGAGTAAGTATGAACCATCATAGGATAAGGCCATGCCTGGAATATTAAAGTTTAATTCAGTAATCAAAAATTTTTCTTTCACTCTTTACTTTCAGTTTGTTATATTCTCTTTAAAGCTGCATATGATAATTGTAAAGAAGCATATAAATATTACAATGCATACCTGTGATAGTGTCCGTATGACCCTTGATTTTGTATGAAATCTGATTGTTCCTGATGTCCCAAACTTTAACAACATTGTCAATTCCACCAGAGATGATCTTCTCAGCAGTATCATTGAACAGGACCGAGGTGACTGGATAACCACTGTCAAACGAGGCTATAGGGTTCCGCTTTCTAGCATCCCATAGTTTAATAGTATTGTCATCTGATGCTGAAACTAATAATTCTGGACCTCGCCTGGCACCTATAAAAGAACATGAGTTAAACATTAAAAACAAAACTACTTAGTTTCAACACAATAAGAACTTTCTTTTTTATTCTTCTGAGGAATACGAAGATTTTAAAATAAAACTGATCTTCTCTATAATAATGTACCTGAGACATAAATCATAAATAATAATTAGCTATAAAACTAAGTAAAAGGTGCCTACCTGACACAGAGTTAACAAAACTAGCATGGCCTTTGAGTTTCTTGATCCTAGTTCCAGTTGGTACATCCCATACAGCAACTGTATTATCTGTGGCACATGAGTACAGGTGGGATCCATCTGGAGAGAAGCATAGCTCCATCACAGCACCCGTGTGCCCCTTCATCACCATCACATTCTCGCATTGGCCATACACATTCCATAGGACTGAAAATAATCATAAGTAATTATTAGTAAGCAAATGTATGTCCCACTTGTTTATGTCCATTGTAAATGGAAGAAGTTGTCTTCTTTCTGCTTCAAATCAGATGAAAGTATGATGTTTATCTCAATAACTATTATGTTCTTGTATATTAACTCGTCGAGTACCGGTTTACTGTACTCGACGAGTTAACTTAATCTAGGCGATTGAATGAACAACTACTTACATATTTGTCGGTCAAAACCTGCAGAAGCCAAATGCTTTCCTTCAGGGTGAAACTTGGATGTAAACACTTCGCCCTGATGGCCTTCTAATAACATTATAGGCGCATAAAGGTTTGATGTACGAGGCACCTGCAAACAATATACTCATTATATTCACTGTCTAGTTGAATTAACAACATAGTATCTCTATAATATCTGACAACAACTTACTGATGATGTTACTACTGCCTTCTCCCTAGTACCAACAACTGATATTTCATGGCGAGTGCGTTTTGCTGGCACTACGGATAAGTCATCCGCTTTTCGTTTAGCTTCTAATTCAGGCATTTTTAATTATTTAACAATTATTTATTGCTTTAATAACCTATATTGTTGATCTTGTGTTTTCGACGCACAGTACAACAGCAACAACCATAAACAATGAATATGAACCACAGATCTCTATATGCTAAACAGGAATGAACCATAGGGTAAAAATCAATGCTCGCATTTATTTAAAAATCAAAATCCTTATACCAGGGAACAAAAAAAAAAGAAGAAGGGTTAAAGTAATCGACTGTGATTCCATTTCTATTCTGGCAAAATTTTATATCCACTTAAGTGTTTTAAGGTATATGGTGTTTGCTAGTTTGTCTGACTCATGAGTTCATGACTCATGTGTGACTGCCTATGACAGAGACGGAAAGAGACCTTTCCTTGCTCAATTTTGTCACTTGTGACTTGAAACCACTGATATGATAAGACTACTTGAAACCCATCTTGAAACCACTAACCTACATAACTCTGTATTCGTCTCGATCTCGACTGAAAGACTTGTAGCTATGGTCAGTAATAAAAATTATTAAAACAAATCTTTTCTGACTGACTGACTGTCATGTCAATGTCAAACGGTTGGTACTACAGCTGATTTTGACATTATTTTTATTCGGTTCTTGTTTGATTTATTTTACTATTTTATAGCAAACTTGCTACCTACGGTATTTTTTTAATATTTAAAAAGTTATGACAGAAACTGTAACATATTTGTAAATTTACGCCATGCAGAAGTTGCAGCTGACGTTAGCTATAATAAAACCACATGCAGTATCAAACCCAGTAGTGCTATCATTCATCAGAAACCTTTTGAAAAACAAATTTGTGGTTCTGAGAACAAAACGGGTTAATTTAGACACAAAAACTGCTTGCCGTTTTTATAAAGAACATTTTGGCAAATTCTTCTATAATCGTCTTGTAACCTTTATGTCAAGGTGAGCAGTCTGTACAAGAGAGGGCACCAAAATCGACACACAATCTCCAATAATGTTGTTCATCATTTCAGTGGAAGCATAGACCTTCATGTGCTTGGACATGTGAATGCGATTACCTTGTGGCGGCAGATGCTAGGTCCCACCAGTGTCTACAAGGGACAATTTCAAGAGCCTCATTGTCTGAGGGGCATGTTTGGTATATCAGATACTAGAAATGTCGCACATGGATCAGGTAGGTTAAATACTCTAATATGTATTAATTGATTAGGCACAGTTGTAGACTCACACTACAACCTAATGCTGCTAATTTTACCCAATATTATACACTGTCATTGTCAGAATAATTTTCAGTAACCTAACCAACATATTAAATGGAATTTCAGATTCACCAGAGTCAGCAGAAAGGGAGATAAAATTCTTTTTCCCTGATTTTTCCTTTTACCATTGGCGCAACCATGACGAGGAATGGTTCCGGAAGGGCCCAATCATATTCAATGACCACCACTTTCAACATGTGAAGAGGCTTTAGATAATATTACTGATTAAATAATATATGAAGCCGAGGTGATAAAACTAATGAAACAGAATATTTTACTAGGATTAGTAAAGGCCAGTACAGACAAGAGGGTTATATAAGGTCCACAGATGACTAAAATCTTGTGAAATGGAAAAACAATTGCTATTAAACTTGGTCATTTTACAAACAGGGTGTGCCATCATTAATTATTCATAGAATGTAGACGTGAGCACAATTTCAATTGTTTTGTTGAACCCAACTCAGTTTTCGTGGCATCTCCCTCTAATGTTTACAATATTTTTAAATCTATGTGCATTAAGGACATATTGATGGATCATGTGATCAGGTAATTAATCTCTTCTATAGCCTCTTGTCTGTGCAAGCCATAGAATTATAGAAAAATGTTGAGAATCACCGAAAAGTAAGGTAGTAGAGTGACTAATTTAAATGAATACATATTGTTGTTTTGACATATTATAATTTTGTTTTAAAAGTAAACAATTTCTGTGATAAAATTAAAATTATTGTATGGCTGTAAGCTTGATGCAGTGCAATAATAAAAAATTGATTATAATTATTCACGATGAACACATTTTCAGCTAAAAGCGCATATGTCTGCCAGTTTTTATTTTATTATGTAATATGTAAAGAATCCTACATACATAATGTCATCACTAGTACTCTGAAAATATAGTACACATGTTGTATATTATAATTGTAGCTTACTTGATCTTCAATGGTTATATTAATGTTTATTTGTATCAAATAGATAGAATAATATGAAATAATAACTTTTTGTTCAAGATTCCTTTGTTCAATCTGAATATTAGTGACGAGTGTAGTTGTATAGTTTATGTATAAGCTATGCTACTGTGTGTGACTTGTGCAAAAATAGAAAATGTAAAACATTACTGTGTGTGGTATAAATAGAACAAAGTTTTAGAGATTAATTTATTTTATAAATCAAATAACGATGGCACCATGGCATCTTGTCGCAAGTTATAGAAATATAATTTCTTTCATATAACAACCTATTTCATTTGTCAAAGAAATGGTCTAAAAACACAAATAATTGTATTTAAATCTCCAAAAAAAGTTATAGAAACACTGTAAATCATACAAACGTATCTAATTATATTAGTTACAACAATGAATAACATACAATAATATAATTAATACTAACATACGACAACGTCAGATTATCTTAACTGAGCGATATCACAACAATTTAGCGATATCATATAACAAACGCGACACTCAATTTGGATTTTGTTTGGACGGAATCTGTAACAGAAGCTGTGTAGTCAGATCTAACAATATGTGTCAACATCTTCCACTTAATACATCATTCATTAGATACTTCATTTTTATTCTAGAAATGTATATACATTATGTTCAAATATAATATACAAAAATTTCTTATATTTCTTGTTCATAAAATTTGTGAAATAATTGACATTTGTAACAAATTGTAAAACAAATGGCACAGAATTAAAGACTGCTTTTATAAGGTGTAACATTTATCCTAAATAATTGTTTGCATAAATCTGACTGCACTATAGTGCCTAATAGAATACCAAAAATTTACAAATAACTTTGAACAAACACAGGCTACTCATTCTCCTATTTTTACAAACACCTTGGGTCGGGAAAACACTTTGATTCCTTCCTCAAGTTTCGCTAATTGTTTTTCTAATTCCATTTTTCTATTACGCATTTTAAGCGTATCTGTTTTTACTGGCAATTTATTCAGTTCACTTACTAACTCTGCAAAACCTGAAAAGAAAATATTAATGTCAATGAATGTGTAACTGATGGTGAATATGGACAGATTTTTTCTGGGATTAGCCGGTAAATGAGCAGACGGATCACCTGATGGCAAGCAATCGGCGCCGCCCATAGACACTTGAAACACCAGAGGCGTTACAAGTGCGTCACCGGTCTTTTGGAATTGGGAATTTAAGGATTGTGGGGGATTCGGGGATCAGGGAGACTGGGGGTGTAATAAGTCCTTTTGTAACCTCACTCACACGACGAAACACAAAGAAAGCGTTATTTCACGGTTTTTCGATTTTCTGTGAGGCCGTGGTATCAGTATGGTCGAGCCGGCCCATTCGAGCCAAAGCGCCATGCTTTGGCTTGAATGGGCCACATCTCCCACACTTAGGACAGAATTAAAATACTCTTTTCTTAAGGTTTTATGAGAAACAGGGCGTCTTTGCATCAGTATAGTGGAAAGAAGTAGAAAAAAAATATACAAAATAATAATACACTTACTATTCCTAAGCATCCTCAATGTTTCTTTACGCTCAGTATCAGGTAGAGTCACATGTCCAGGAGGACACACAGAGTGGTCTTCTTCCAGCCTGCCACCCTCTCCCTCCTTTGGACCCTGTTCCTTACGTTCGCGTAAGTATTTTGGTACCACACCTTTTTGGTAACCTGAAAATAACATAATAAATAAGTATTTAAGCATAATTTTAAGAATGTTATCTTACAACCAATAGAATAGACATGAAAGAATTCAGAAGCAACAACCTGATGGTAAGTACGGGTCCCTGGTATCCTTTCTCTCCAAAATGGCATTTAACCGGCTACGATTTCTTTCAAGATCTAATATATTATTATCATCACCAGCCCGACGTGGAGGCTGGGATGGAGGAGGGCTTCTGTGATGACCAGTGTCTCCACTAGCCTTCATTTTGGCTTCAGTATCTTCACCCTCCTTCTTAGGATATAACATTGTTAACTTTGCACCCTCAGCCAGCTTCTGAGCAAGGTTAGACTCTACAGTTTGACAGCCAATGTCCCGGAGGCGTCCTGTTGACTCTGTTGACTTTACTTCTTCATCTGCACAATCTTCTGTTGCTTTGGACTGCCTCAACTCTTTCCTTTTGAGAAATTCGGCCATATCACCCTTCTTGATACGTATATCCGCCATTTTTTTACGAGTGCTTGTAGAGCTAGTCTTTGCAATATTGATTGATGTCTTTCCACTCTTATTCGATGGTGATGACTTCACTTGGCCAAGAGTGCTTCCAGCTGCGATAGGGTTGGTCAGCCGCGGTGGATGGACATTTTTAGTATTGTATTTCGGTTCTTTGGGAGATTTGCTGCTCTGAATGTATTTTAGTTGTTTCATGTTTTCTCTGATGAAGTTCTTTTTTTGTTCTTTCTCTAAAATAAATAATTTCATATTTAAGACTTTCAAACATAAATTAAAATTTAGGGAAGAGGTTTTAACAACAAATTGTGTTTATTAGTTAAAATGAGGACGTGACCTATAAAATGTGTTTGAGTAAACATCGTATCGTAGGCTTGTTGACTGAAATTGCCATGACAGTTGTGTAATAATAGTTGAAAACACTGAATAAATTCATAGAATACAAGTAGGAAGCTTAACGACGTCACAACAAATAAAACAGATGGCCATGACAACAGTTATGTAGTGTGAAATTGAATGTAACGAACTTACTTGGTTCGGGAAAGATACCCTTCAAAGTATACATTATAATTATCAAACGTTAACAAAATCTAAACAAAGAAAATATGCACTCATTATTTAGCGTTCGATATAAAGCACACTTTTCTAACTGATGTAAACGTTCATCCTTCTGCACTTTAAATATTTTCAAGATTAAAAAATAATTCAGTGATTTTTTGTAATTTGCGCTCGGTTTTTGTCACTTTTTCAAAAAACTGTCATCAATATTATCTATGGTGCAATTTTGTTTCTGGCCACTTTTTGTTCTCGTTTACAACTTTATTTAATTTGTTTAGAAATTAAATTATTATTCACAATAATCTTTTCAACATTTAATAAAATAAACAGGAACTAATATAGTAAATCACTTTATTGATATATTGCCTAGGTGAATAATCCTCTGGGAAGATAATACGATACGTTCGTAGCAAAGTGTGATAAAATATGATGAATGGAGTAATAAAAAGCTCTTTGATTTACAATTGTATGTGATAATCAGAAAGGGGGCGTCGGGGGTATGATAAGTCAGCGCTTAAGTATTGACTACTGGGCTGGGCACTTACAATGAGATTATTAGCTAGGTGTATGGAATTGATAAAAGCGCAACAAGGGGCAATTTAAAGTTATAACTTATATTATGATTAAATTAATATTAATAAATAAATCCTAATAAATAATATATTATTCATTTAACTAAATTTTTTCGATTCCAGTAACTTTAGTCAAAGAGGTAGGTACCTAATGGAATTCCCAAATGCACGTACAATTCCGTTCGTAAGTTTGTTTTTATGTCTTTTTAGTTAAAAATAAGTTTGGATTATATCGATGTGAGTATCTACGGATTTGGTCAGTTTTTGTTTTAAAAAACTTTTTCTTTACTTCCATCACCTCTGACAGTTATTCAGCGCATTACGAGAACGTCCGTTATTTCGAAAGGTTGTTTATATTTTTGATGTTTTTCATTTTAGCAAAATTGAACATAATTTAACTAGCAACAGAAATGACTACTGTTACGCCATCGTTCAGTAAATACAAAATATCTCGAAGAGGCCGAAAACTCCAAGTTTCAGATGATGCGAGAACCCTGGTCGCTTTACCAAAAGACATTCCTGAACGAACATGGTAAATTTTGCATCCGTTCCCTAGGTATTGTTTAAAACTTGGTTATTCCCTTGGTTATTTATTAAACTTTTTGGTTATTTCAAACCTTTTAATGAATGGATTACCTATTAAAAATGTTATCTAAATACATTCATACTAATTAAATAAATAATTATTGCTATAGTTCTGATTTTATTTAAAGCTTGTTCATAAACGCCCCTATTATGCTGCCATTACCTATACAGGGGTTAAAAACTTGTTCCTGTTTAATGTATATTTTCTCAGTCCAGGATCGTTTGATATTATAATTTTTTTATTCAATTAACAGGGCAGAAATACTTCAAAAAGAGGAAAATGACCTAATAATATTTGACATCCGAGAGGAAATCCTCGAGACCGCCTTGTCAATTGGTTACGAGAGTTATATGGAGAAGCAGACAGCCATATTCACCGTGCACTGCGCTACCGAAGCCTGGCTAAAACTGATAGATTGGTAATCTAATCGTACTAATTATATTTTTTTAATAGTCTAAGAGGGCAAAACGAGTTTAAGTATGGGAGACCCATGCTTCGGCACGAACGAGACGGCTCGACCGAAGTGATACCACGGCCTCAAAAGCGACGTGAAACAACGCTTCCTTTGTGTTTCGTCGAGTGAGTGAGGTTGTCGGAGGCCCAATAACCCAATAACCCGCCCTTCCCCAATCTTTCCAATTCCTGAATCTCCAACAATCCTTAAATTCCTAATCCCCAAAAGGGCCGTAACGCACTTCTGACGCCTTTGGTGTTCCAGGTGTTCATGGGCGACGCCGATTGCTCACCATTAGGTGATCCGTTTGCTCGTTTATCGGCTTAATCCATAAAAAAAATAACGAACAAGTTGACAACGCCTATGAACACCCACAAAACCCGAGATTTATGGGAATTTGGAATTTTTTTTGGGATAGGAGGCAAACGAGCAGACGGATTGATTGGGAATGAGAGTGAGGATTTGTGTCTCGGGGTGGATGGACACGCATTGCAAGCGAAGTGTCACAACGGGTTTCTTTGAGGCCGTGGTATCAACCTGGTTGAGATGGCCCATTTGTGCCCTAGCATGGACCACTAATGTGTATGTAAAAGTTGATGGGTTAGGGTTACTTAATGGTAAGCAATCGGCGCACCCTTGGACACCCGCACTTTGGCGGTCTTTTGAGAGGAGGGATTAAGCTGGTAATTTCTGGTAACACATACGATGAAATAAACCACTACGTAAGCATAGCAAGTTAAAACATTTAGCTCTTTGTTTTTATAATAACTATCGTGAGACATACTAAAGTAACTAAAAATCGCGGGTTACTCACGTGAATATACTGAGAAAAGCTCTACTAGCTTCGAACCACAGAGGGGTTAGTAGGCTGCACGACATCGCCGCGACCGCGAACGCTGCTCATGAGGAAGAACCCCTTTGTGGTTCAGTGGGTAGTTATTTGAGTAATTCCTAAGTCAATCTTTACCATAGGCACTTCTATCGTCATGATCCTGGTGAGGAACCGAGTGCGTACCCTCCTTGTTACATTCCCCATCGCGAGGACTCTTGGATCCCCGACCAACTACCCGACCCATCACCGAAAGACACTTGGGGTCGGCAGGAACTGACCATTATAGAAGATACACCTGATTCTCCTTTGCGGAAGTGGCCCAGTTCGTCCTCATTGGATCTTCCAGTCATAGAAGAAATACCAGCGCAGTACTGGTAAGGTGTAATATGGCATAGTTATTAGCTTCGGAAGACATCTTAATTGTATGAGCAATAATCATAATACACCTATAAACGATTATAATTATTTTATTTCTCAATGCCAATGCCAAAAGAAATTTTGCAATTTAATGATCGGCGAGAAAGATAATCTTTGAGATTTTGACGTGAAACTTTTACTTTCATATATTTTTTTTGTAAGGTTTCCTGGCAAGGTCCATGTAGCTGACTCCCTGGAGGGAACTAGACCAGTAGGAAAGAAAGGAAGACGGTCTAGGACTGAAAGTTACGTAAGTGGAATATTGTATCATATCAAGTGGCTCAACGTGATACAAATGTAACGCAACCTATAAAATTCTGGGTTCGCTGCCATTGCAGTGGTAAGTGTACTCTTTGAGGAATGGCTTGAGAGACACTATGGCGTCCTCACCTGCCGCCAGACGCGTGTCTCAAAGAGCCAACAGACCACCACAGAGGGGGCCCAATAGGGCTGATGCTGATGCGGAGTCGCGGAGGACTTAACGGGTTGCCGGGGCTCCGGCTCAAAGCGCAGGGGTAGGAACAGGGTGGTTTTTAGTCAGTAAGAGTCTGACACTCCCTACCGCCTCACCCAGGTGGAAGTAGTCATTCAATGATTTTCCCCCCTTAGTGTTCTGGACATACCATAGCATTGCATTACACTACACGATGGCGGCGATTTTCCGATGAAAATGTAATTTGGTTTAGATATCTACTAAATAAAAGCTCTTAATAAGTCTACCAGTTTTTACCAGTCTGCATAATTGCGAGTTACAGAGTGGTGGGATTATGTGCAGGTATCGACCACCGACACGCAGGCTACCTCGGAGGAGTACCTCAACACTGAGAGCGAAGTGTTGCAGAAGGTCACTGATTACAGCACTGAGGAAATTTCCGAAAAGGTACAAACACTGCAACCCTTATCGCGACATTATTTATGAGTAGAGGCACTTAGAGTACGATTTGTCAGCGAGGTTTTTTCCCGGAGTAGTGGTACCTTTGTCCTATAAGCACAGATATGTTTATATTTTCTTTCTACACTTTAGAGCGCGCAAAAGATATAGGACATTAAGCTAAAGGGTCCATAGGCATAATTATTTTTATTATTTTGATTTTGGTATCAGGAATCATCGTACGGTGAGTTGAAGACTACGACTCCGGTGGATGGGTCCCTGCACGGCGCTGGAGACTCCACGGTGGAACGCCCTAAGAGACGACTTACTGAGAAGAGCAAGAGCTTCATGAAACCTGGGTAATAAAAACCAGCATGTAGTTTTCATTCTTTGTGATAGGTAGGAACTAACGTATCACTACAGCAATGAGTTTCTATGTATCAAGCAGGTATTACATAGGTAAAAATGGAATGACACCCATGCGGATTTTACAACAACTTTTAAAAAGTATATTCGTCTGTTTACTTATAGCAGCAGGTCGAAAGCCACGCTGCCGCCCCTAGACATCGGCGACTCGCTCTCTCGAATCAGTATTATATCAGACTGTCGCTTGAGAAACCTCAGGTTTGTAATATTTTGTTGCAATTTTATTTTTACTTATTTATATAGTAGACACAGGACTAGGTATTCATGGTAATCAGGACCACAGGAACACTTAGTCATTGTGTCCTCACGAGGGGAACACTGACAAACAGTTCTTCTGATACCTATAGGTTATAAGTCGTTAAAAACCGACAGTTCCAGCAACAGTCGCAAAGGTATTACATAGGTACCTTCTAAAGTAATTTAACGTAGGTCGGTACTTTGTTTTTCAATGAGATTTTTTCAATCAATCCAGCGTTTCATTCAAACTGTTGACGTTAGGTAAGTGGGTACTTACTTTCATTCGGTTTAACAATTAAAAAGAAAACTATTACAATAGCGATTGTATTATTAAATACGCATGTAATTATTACGTTTGAAATACTTGTAATGGCTTTTATGTAGCGTGAGGCAAATAAAGGGTTGCCATGGGAAAAAGTAGTGAGGTTGCCACGTGCAAAATAACAATGGGCTCACTTGAATAGGTTCACGTTTTACAGTGTGATTCTATTCGAAACGGGGTTAACTTGTATAGGGATGTGGGCAACGTATGAACTGCCCTGTTTTTATGCACTTCTATTGACCTGGCTACTGGAATACGCGCTTTATGTTTCTGTAAAGAGCTCACGTCTCAGTAAAACATGGAGGATGCTTTTAAGGATGCTTTGTAGGGACTATTCTTTTATTGGATTGATAAATAAACAATCTGTGTTGAAAAAAAAGAAATGAATAGACCAACGAGCTTTCTACTCGTATATAGCAACGCTGACAATGCTGGTACAATATAGTTCGACTTTGCCAACTAAAATAATGACTTATTTAGTTATTTTTCACGAAATCACAGTAGGTGGCTGTCTGGCTGTACTAGTTTCCCTTCCAAGTACTTGTAGGCAAGTAACGAGTAACAGTGCTAACACTTGACCTGCATTCGTCCACAAAAGCGAATGTAACACGTTTAGAGGTAACACGGTGTACTACAAAGTAGGATCGTGTCGTTGAACTGCGTCGAGTCAAGCTCCTTTGTCTTGCCACAAAGCGGTTCGATTTGAATGACATGAAACGCGTTGAATTAATCGTCGAGGGGAAAACTAGTTGATAATCAATGCGTTATATTATAAACGCGGTTTGTTGATAACGTATAACGTGGACACTTGTGAACTTTGGATAGGGTTGTCCAATCGTCCTGAGGCGGTGACGGTGACATATATTTTTCGAAATTTGTAAACAGCTGCAATTTGTTTGTAATGTGAAATTGCTTAGGAGATAATAAATGGCTTTCATATAAGTGACTAGATTCTTCTAATACCTATTAAGTAATTGTTTGTCGCTCATTCACCGATGATTAAATTTTTCTTGAATCATAACCTTTCTTAGAGTAAATAGTGATAGTTTGTTATAATCAGAAACGCGATGTTTTCGTTCCCTTCGAAATCACTCACGAGTTTGACATTTCTAAAGCTGACATTTACATTAGGCAGCAATTGAAATAGTTCTTATGACACGACCGGCTGGGGCCCGCAGGCTCAGCACTGATGTCATTAAGTAGAGAGTTGTGGGACTGAGAGGAATTTTGAGCAAGTCTCGATGCAATAGATGATTGAATTTACATACGATAGTTTCATCACTATGAAGAGCTCATTTCATCTCTACACAAACATTGTGTTTGTTGGTATTGCTATCGATCGGCGTACATATTCTAGTTACTATAGCTGAGATAAAAGAATAAGCAATGAATGCTTATTCCTTTATCGTGACCTTAGCTAAGCTCACCATAGATTGCTTTGCACATTATTAAAGTCTAAGTTTCCTCACAATATTCTCACAAAATGTATGGATCGAGTTTTAATTGTTATTACTTAAATATGTTATGGAGTGTTGAACTCTTTGCCAATGTTTTGTATATCCTTTTTTTATGTATTGGCAGCCCTATTCTAGGGCGAGTATTCCAGGTGTGCTCGGGTCAACGCTCGCTACTCACAGTTTTATTATAGCTTTGTGTAGCTTTGTATACTGTAGGAGTATATAATATTATGTAGTTTGCTAGCTTTTGCCAGCAGCTCAATTTCATTTCGATCTCTTCAGCCGTGTTCGTGTGAAAGAGTAACAAACACATACACACTTTCACATTTATAATATTAATAGGACTCGTAGGAAGTAGGATGTGGTGTGGTGATGCAGTTGTTGATATATTGTCGTAAGCGCATCTTATTTACATTATTTATTAGTACATAACGGATGAGAAGTAGCGGTCTTCATAGAAAAAGGGAAATAATATGGCAAGAAATATATAGTTCCTTACTGGTATTCAGCGGGTATAGTTTAAAGGTGAACACCGAAGGAGTATTAATAGATTGTTATTATGTTAAGGTCTTTATTATTGGGCTCGCTGCCATTGCAGCGGTAAGTCCCCTCTTTGAGGAGTGGCTTGAGAGACGCTACGGCGTCCTCACCTACCGCCTGACGCAGGTCCTCACCGGACATGGAAGTTCCGGGAGGTACCTGTGTCTGATGGGGCGGGAGGAAACGCCCGGGTGTCATCACTGCGAGGACCGCCTTGAGGACACGGTGGAACACACCGTAGCGGAATGCCCTGCGTGGGCTGAGCACCGCCGTGCCCTCAGGGAAGTGATCGGCGATGGCGACCTCTCGCGTCCGGGCCTAGTGCAGGCCATGATGCGGAGCGAGGGGGACTGGGATGCCGTCTCCTCCTTTTGCGAAGCAGTCATGCTAGCTAAGGAGGAGGCGGGACGCGTGAGGCAGCGAAGCGCTGCCTCCTCGCAACCCAGCCATCGCGAAGGACACACCGGGCGTCGGGGATCGCGGGACGATCTCCGGCCACCGTAAGCGCGGGCCTGCGGACGGCGAGCATGGGTGGCTCCCCGTCCGACCAGAAACAGACCCGAGCGTACGGCGCGTCGCGTTCCGCGCGCGCCTCAAAGAGCCATCAGACCACCACAGATGGGGCCCAATAGGGCCGATGCCGATTCGGAGTCGCGGAGAACCTAACGGGTAACCGGGGCTCCGGCTCGACGTGCAGGAGAAGGAACGGGGTGGTTTTTAGTCAGTAAGAGTCTGACACTCCCTTCCGCCTCACCCAGGCGGGAGCAGTCATTCGATGATTTTCCCCCCTTAAAAAAAAAAAAAAAAAAGGTCTTTATTATAATGAGACTTCCACAAAAATCGGGGCAATTTGGAGTACTGAGGCACTGTTTGTATATGTCTATAAGTATTGGCTGAAGTGGCCAAACGACTTCAGGAAGACATTTCTGTCCTTCATTGTACCTGGTCGTGTTATTACAACGTTCCAAGGATTTCATGACAGAAAACGTCTCTATCTGGAAACTTAGCTACGTATTACATTAAAGGGCTATAACCAACATCTAATTCCCAGTGAACCTTCGGTTATTAGAATTGTGTTGTAATTAATAACGAGCGCTTTGTAATAATAACTGAATTGTCAGACAATGTGGCTTTGATGTCAAGTGAGAGACGAGTGGAACGGGAATAGTAGGTACCTACGCTTATTAATTCGTTGTTATTGCTTATAGTTTTGGACAAGGGTTTATGGAATATTATATCTTTCTTTGAATTTATTTTGACCAGGTTGACATTTGGTTCAGTTTTCAAGTTGTTTTCTTTTAAAACGTGGCCCCCTCACTGAGGTATTCTCCTGTGTCGTAGCTGCGTTTCCAACTACACAATATTTGATACACATGACACTCAGACTCTGAACAACAATTTGTGGATCACACAAAGAAGTAGAGTTCCCCTAACACTATCAAACGTAGAATTTGTTTAGCTGCACTCCTACATATTGATAACTAGCTTTTACCCGCGGCTTCGCTCGCGTCACAAAAGGATAAAAAGTAGCCTATGTGACATATACCAATACACACAGCGCCATCTATACCAACACTTTTGTTTTCAATGGGGAATATCAAAATTTTCCGGGATAAAAAGTACCCTATTATTTAATCCGGACTTCTAACTTTACGTCTTCAAAAATTCAAAGCAATCGGTTTAGTCGTTACGGCATGAAAGCGGAACAAACAAACAAACTCACTTTCCGATTTATAATATAAGTAAGGATAGTAAGGATGGTCCCTCTTGTAAGGAACTTGAGTACCCCGCGGAAATGTAAAATAATAATTAATTATACTACAGCAATATATTAAGTACATAATAACATTGTGGAGCTCAGTTAATTGTAAATAGAGAGGTATTGGTTTCAATGAGCTCGGTATTGTTAGATAATAATATCTTGCAGTGAGGGGTAACTTCACTTGCTTCCCGAAACCATTCAGATGAATGCTTCAAATTAGTTTGAGCGCTTATTGTAAATCCCTAATAATATGTATGTGATGACTTTCGTATATACCTCTATACAACATGTAACGTAATTAACGCACACCCTCAAACACCCCAATTAGAATATTATGTTATAATCATAATACATACACTAAATTTTTAATTTAACATGTATATGCATCCTTACTGGTCTTGTCATAAGGTTTATTTTTCTTTATTTTGTATTGAATGATTGAATTTGTATGAATACAAATAAAACTGCGATTTTAAAAGTCTTGTTGCTTTGACTTACGGTCCATTTCGATTTGTTTTAACAATACAGGGTTAATATGACAATAATTTCCGTAGTTTTAATTATTTTTGGGATAAAAAATTACCCATACTAAAAATTATATAAATCGATTCAGTTAACGATTCTGAACAAACTATTTTCAGGATGTGCGTTATTTAAGTTACATGTTGTATAGGCTCACCCCCTTTTACATGGGACTCATAACATAAATAGTGAAAAGTGGGTGTTACTTCTGTGTGCACCTCTGCCTACCCCTTCGGGGATAAAAAGGCGTAATGTTATGTTATGACTATCGTTAGAAATATTACGTTAATTATTCTAAACCTCCAGCATGGCTTGAAACTAGTCGAGTTCCTCGTCAAATAATTTCGAGAGTAAGTAAAAAACATAATCTCTTTCTAATAATAATTCTGTAAATAAAATGACCATAGCAGTTGTAATTTTTTTTAATGTTCTGTCTCTGACTGAAT